CAGCACCGACCTCTCCCCCATCCAGTCCTCCTGGGTGCCGCCCAACGTCCGCTTCGAGGTCGATGATGCCACCCTTCCGTGGACATGGCCCCGCGACCACTTTGACTTTGTCCACGCCCGCACCCTCGGGGGCGCCATCAAGGACTGGCCCACCCTTCTCCGCCAATGCCACGATGACCTCATCCCGGGGGGCCAAGTCGAGATCGCCGAGGGCCGCGCCGACTTCTTCTGCGACGACGGCACCCTCACCGAGTCGTCCAAGACGTAGCAGTGGCTCTCCGAATTTCGCCGTCTCGCACAGCCCCTGGGCTTCGACATCGCCCCCGCACTGCCCAAGCTGCTTGAGGACGCCGGCTTCGAGGACGTTCGCATCGTCCAGAGGCGCGTGCCGCTCGGCACCTGGCCCAAGGACGCCCATCTCCGGGAAGTCGGCCGTGCTTTCCGTGTGCAATTTGTCGAGTACGCGCTCGAGGCGTACTCGCTCGCGCTGTTCACGAGGCTGGGCGGATGGACGAGCGAGGAGGCCCAGGTCCTTTTTGCCATGGTCGGGGATGAGATGAAGACGAACAAGGTTCATCTGTATACCTATTCGTAAGTTTCCTCCCCCCCCCGCGCCTTCTCTTTTTGTTCAGGCACGATGAGGGTGTGCTGACCCATGGTTCCAGGGCCTTTGTAACGGGTCGGAAACCGACGACCGCAACTTCTTGGTTTCGGGTTGATGGGCTCCAGGCGGCCCGGAGACTACCAGCTTGCGTCTTGAGCGCTGATAACACATTAGCGAGCGAACATTTCAGTTCATGCCCCTCCCCCTCGGATTGTTGCTTCGCCGCCTAGAGACGTTCCTTGCATCATGCACAAGACTGAGAACAGATCCCTCGACCATCATTCGGTTCTCGAGACGAAGTCATGCTCATGGAGTAGACTACCTAGCTTAAGCCGACCGTGCAGCATTCGCCGAGTTTCTCTGGGCCCTCAGACTGCAACAAAGGCTCGTTGGGAGGTCAAGAACGACTTCGAAGACGTTCACCAAGCTGACTGTTCGTAATTTGTCTACTGTTCGGCCGGCGATATCGAGTGATAATTCCGCTGTCCGGATAGCACCATGCAGGGTGACCTTCCAATCAAAAGGGGGTAGAAACAAGGGCGTGCGCAGGAGACCAGGCTCTTCGAGTCCATCGTAAGGAGAACAGGACCTACGTTGAGACATGGACATGGCTGTGAGCTGTATACCGACTGGCTGTTCCACGGGCGAACCACCAGAAGTTGAGGGTCGCGTTGAGATGAATTTAGCTGAGTTGCACTTTTGGCTACTGGAGGCTCACTCTCTCCCGTTGCACTGGTGATTCGTCCTGGTGGTGCATGGCCAGCTCTATCCGATGTATGCTTTTCTGTGGAGCTGGGCCTGAGGTACAAACGAAAGAGGCTGTGGGTTCACTGAGACAGAACGACTTTACTGTGATTGAATAAGATGAGAATGACCTATGGGCAGTGTTGAAATGAATCACACTTGTTCGGTGAGTTTGGCTACATCAGAAGCCAGCCTCTGCATTGGCCGGCGGCGTCCATCGTCGGAGCACACAACAAGACCAAAGGACAGCTCTATCAGCTTGGTATTCAGGGTGAACGGACCCTGGAATAAGTGAGAGACGACCACCATGGCGTGATGCAACTCTGCATGTGAATTGCTGTTGAGAGGGGGGTAGGATGGGAGGAAGCCAGGGATACGGAGACGATGGAGGGAAGCTTGGGAGAGTACTCACAATTGTGTTGCACACTCTGCTCTCAAGGAATCTCTTTCAGTGTAATTTCGAATATCACTTGACGCATCCTAGTCCTTCCAAATATGCTCTGGTCCTGATGAAGCTTCTGAAATCGGGTATTCTTGTCGTGAAGGGACGTTGCTTGCAGCTAGAAGGGGTGTTTGCAGTGCGCCGTACCGTGTTGGCCATTACGGTGCACTGCAACAACATCTAATTCATTCCACTTGCGCGACGACCGTCTGGGCTTTTACATCACCAAAAACTTACCATCCAAGGCCTGCCGCGTTGTACACCACCACCTCCCTCAAGCCATCATCCTCAAATCAACGCCGAACCCAGAAGTCTTGGACAAAGAGAGAGCCACAAAGATCACCGCCATGGCCTCCAACACCGCCACCCTGCGCTCCCTCTACCGCAGCCTCCTGCGCGAGCTCCCGCCCCGCCCCATCCTCGCCCGCAACCGATCGCCCATCCACGTCCGCATCCGCAGCAGCTTCGCCGAACCCGCCGCCGCTCACCCCAACGCCGCCACCGAGGCCGTGCAGTTCCTCGACTACCTGCGCGCCCAGCGCGTCTACGCCACGCTGCTCGAGCGCTACAACCCCGGCATGGGCATGGACGAGGAGGAGCGCGTCCGGCTGACGGCGAGGAGGTCGGCATGGATCTGCCCAAGGAGTTTGGCAAGCAATGAAGGAACCGTTTGCGGGAACGAAAAAGTTGCCCGGCCCCTTCATTGCCACGGAGGGGCGGGCGAGGAGAGGGATGTGACGGTGACAGAGATGCAAAAATCCCAGATGCCGGCCCCCTTGGGGGGGGGGGGGGCATAGGCTTGTGTCCCCCGCCATGTACAACATGTGATACCACGACATACGCCTTGTACATTACATTCGGGGAAGAAAGCACAACGGCAGATGCCTTGAGGACCGGAATACCTAAACGAGATGGCAGGAGCTGGTAAGAAATAGCACTAGCATGATCAGTGGAACGGCGGCCACAGGGGTCGAGCCTGAACCACGTCTGCCAACAAGAACAATTTAGACAAGAAACTTCCCAATGAGAAATCATGTTGAGAAAATTGTGATTTCTAGAGAGAATTCGGTGTATCGTGTAATATGGG